AACCACTGCATAAACAAATCTATAAGTAAAGAGAACAAGAAGTAGCCCTTTGCAGTAAGAGTTGCAGCAGCTAAAGGTTAAGCAAACCTTGGCTTGAGAACCCTATTTGCTTCCTCTAAGTAACTTGGATAGTTGATTCCCATCAAAGAAAGACAAAATATTGCAACATCTATAGAGGATGGCTCCAATGGAGTCTGCAGAGACACCAAAAAAAAGAAGGAAGAAGTTTAGTTCAATTAATTATTTGCATAGTAGTCAAAGATTCAGTGCCCATTTTATTCAGTTTGACTACTCCTATGTTCATCCTGGAAAAAAGGCAGAAGAACAGGAGATCTCTTTGGACAGTCTCTTCGAATAGAGAAGTCATATGTCTTAAAATTAATTCAACACTAGGATGATGACGGAATATTGGATGTTGTTACAGATCAATCTTTTTTTAGAGAGAGGGGGGGGGCATAAGAATCATAGGAACTCATTTGATGAAGCGAAGGCTCATCAACAAACAATAAGTGATCTATCGTTCTAACTGGGTCATCTGACACTTCAATTTCCTATAAGTTAGTGAATGCGACACTGATGCAATTATGTCATTAAAGAATACATAAAACAAAGTTTTTGCTTAATCGATGCACATCACCTCAAAGAAACTACATTATCTTAGTTATGTTACCTTCAACACATCCATCAAAACTAAATATTCAATTAAGCTAACTTTTACCGAAAATAAAATCGAATATTAACATCAAGGAAATATAGTTCTAGAAATTCTTTATCCATGTAAAAACATAGTACAATGGTAGATAAACTGTTCAACTGCAACTCTGCAGGTTCGTAAAAAATAAGTAGCGCTGAAATGGTCTTGTACAAAAATATTGTCAAAATATGGACCACAAACCCCCGTGATGTTGTTCTCAACCATTACCAAGAATTATGCAAAAACCAACCACAAGGATGGCAAAGAACCACCAGGAAAACGTTTAGCAAACTAACATAAAGGACAGATAGCTAACAGTGCAAAGCATAAGAAAGGTATTATGCAGCTTGCAGCCAGTGCTTACATGAGCCATATCACAAGCAATCACTGAAGGATCATCTGAAACAAGATCAATGGAGAAAACCTTGTTCTTCACATTTTTTGCAACTGCGGCATTGCCTGGGAAATATGAATAGTATTCTCATAATTGTGCCAGGTAAATAAAAAGATGTAAAAAGGAGGAAACTTGCAAGAAGCATCAGCTACAGGACAGTAAGATTAATCTTACCACAGCCAAAATCAGCAACAGTCCATGATGCATTGTGACTCTTCAACCAATTGATTATTACATTCACTGGCTGTTCAGGCCAGTGTGACATCTGCTCTTGATATCCTGTATGATACTAAGAGAGAAACGTGAATTCAAGCATGTAACCTCATGGTTAATTAGTTGCTTGAATGAATCCTTTTTTGCATAATAATCACAGCAATAAATTTTTGAGACAGATACTAGTATTAAAGCAAGAAGAATAAAATAATAACGTACCACATCAAAAAGATTAGGGTCATTTTTGAAGTAGTCAAACGCATCCTCTCCACTGAGAAAGATAAAGAATATATATGTGAAAATGTGAATGAAACGTGATAAGTGAAGCTCTGCTGTCTATGGATTCCAAGGTCTAACAGACCTTTAGTAATTCAGTACAGTATGCTTTACTAATGATAAGGCAACCAGCATATAAAGTCATATGGGGAAATTGTTAGCATTAGCAAATCACAGAAAGTAGGAGGTAATGAGACACAATATCACTATCATGAATTATCATCATTTGTAGAGAATAAGAGCTAACAAGACAACCATGTATGTATTGTCTAACGATTGTCATATGCAATCACAGAAAGTATAGCGTTCAAGCCATTCAAGACATAAAAAATCAACCAAAAACAAGTGTGATGTGTAGAATGCGAACCTGCAGGTGTATAGCTTCTCGTTTAACATTCTGAAATGGCCACCAGATAACCTTGCACGCATCTAAGATGTAACCAAACAACAAACAGATTAACAGATTAGTTAGTTCACAGAAAACAATTAAAGTATGAAACAGGGATAAACTCTATAATGAAGCAATATATATGCGGTCAGGTTTAAGTGTTTACAACTCCTACCATCAAGAATTCACAGTGCTAAATTTATCAAGTAGAACCAAATGAACACCAACTGTTATTTTTTTGTGCGAACTGGAGCAATGCACTAAGATACAGCAATGCACAGAACTAGGGGCTTTCCTTCATTTAGCTATGCCTTTTTCCCCTGCAGCTTGTCATAATCAGAGATGCAAAAGGACTACCAGCTCAATATCACAGAACTGCCCGTCATGTACTATATAAAAACACTAATACAGTAATCATCACACAAAGCACACTTGTTAACACTGGCGTCGCACATACACAGATTTTTGTTGTCCCCAATAAGCAGCCGAGGGATTCGATATAGTTTGCAACCCAAACCCTCTACTGCACCACTGAACACTCCCTCCAATCCGGTCATCCGGGTAAGATAGACTACCTTGTCCAGTAGGCTCGAGGTGTTGCCTCTCTTCGGCATGGCGGCGGCCTGGCCAGCGATGTCCTTGCGCCGCCGCTTGACCGGTGGGGACGACGGCGTTGGGGGCGCAGCCGCTGGAGGAAGCCCCCTCTGCGAGGAAAGCTTTTTGCGATTCCGGACGCCTCCTCGCCGGCGCCGCTTGCGGCCGGCGGCGGCCGACTCTTGCGGTGGATCCATGGGAGCGGGAGAGGGCTGCGCGAGCCGTGAGGATTGTCGGAGTTCCGGGTCGTGCGGCTGACGTTGTGGCCTACTGTCAGCCTAAGCTAGCCTGACACGGGGCGATGAAGCTCGCAGCAGGGACGCACGCCGCCGCCGCCACGACTGCGCGCAGAGCCGCGGAGGAGATAGCACTGCGCCGCCGGCCCGCCGCCACGCTCCGGTCTGTGTGAGCGGGAGTCGCCGAGTGGTGGGGGCGGGGGGACACCGATGCCAACTAGTTGGGCCACGGCGAGGACGCGAGGTTGGGCCAGGAGCCCAGGAGCGGGGGTGGCTGTGTCTGTGACTCATTTTGTTCGCTGGGAGTTGGGCATGTTTGGCATGGTTTCGGCAGTCGGCTCCGACGGCTCCGGTTCTGTTCCTGTTTGGTTCAGTGTTACGTGAGGGAATGGTAATGGGATCACCTGCCGGCGCTAACTGTTAGAGCATCGAGTTCCTAAAAATTTCTTCGTAAAACAGTAGAGTTTTCTACCTCGCCAAAAATATTAGGAGAAATAAATAAAATTATCTCCAATAATTTTCAATAATTCACTCCTAAAATATAGAAGACGATTTTCATCAGAAATTCTATACTATTTCTAAATTATCCTAACCACTTTTATATATTATTTCTCTATTGTGCATTTGCATCAAAAGCCATTTCTTACTCTTTATTTTTTTCACGCCTCTATCTTAGATTGGAAGACCGATCTGGCGTGTCTTCCACGCTTGGATATGTCCGCTTTGAATTTTTTTTCAAGTGCCAAATGATTGGGATGTGGGATTGAGAACTCTTGGATATAGTTTTTTTCTATTTTTATCAAAAACCCTAGATTGGGAGGCTTTATTGTAAACTTTTGGAGACGCTGTTATAGAGGAACAAAATACGCTACTTGTTTGGTTCATTGTTGGAGTGCTTCCCACCGCGAGTTCGATGCCACATGCATTGAGAGCTGCGGCGCTCTCTCTGTTAGCGCCTGGGGAGGGAGGGCAAACGGTCTTGTACTGTGCTGGATCCGTTTTTCAGGGTGACATGTTAGATCATCTCCAACGGTATGTAAAAAATACTCTTAAAAATAGGTTTTTTCCAACCTTTACAAAATATATTGGGAGATATAAAAAAGCTACAGCTCCAACAGTTCCTAAAGTCTCGCGTCTAAGAGCACATCTAGGAATTTTGGCAAGATAAAAAAGACTCATCTCCAACAACTCTCAAACCCACCTCCCAATCTTTTGGCACTTGAAAAAAAAACCATCCTCACGCGTGTAAAGTTACACACACGTATCGTTGCCCCAATCTGAGACGGAAGGGCGTGGGGAAGAAAAAAAAAGTAGGATAGGGTTCCTGGTGCAAATGTACAAGAGAGAAATAAAGTATAAAAGTGGTTAATGTGATTTAAAAATAGTGTAGGATTCCTGATGTAAAATTACCTTCTATCTTTTAGGTCCGAGATTTTAAAAACTGTTGGAGTTGTAGGTTTTTTATGTCTCCCAATATATTTTGCAAAGGTTGGAAAACGTGTTTTTGGGAGTAATTTTTTATACTATTGCTCCAACAGAAGATAATTTTATATTAGAAATCCTAAATTATTTCTAAATCACACTAACCATTTTTATACTTTATTTCTCTCTCGTACATTTGCATCAAGAACCCATCCATTTGTTTTCTTCCTATATCCTTCCACCTCCTGATTGCACGAAGATACGCTGCCAGCGTAACTTCACGCGCATGGGAATGGTTTTTCCAAGTGCCAAAAGATTGGGAGTTGTTAGAGATGAGTTTTTTTCAATCTTGCTAAAATTCTTGGATTGACAACTGTATCGTTTATTCTCGGAGAGTATCTAAATCTCCTCACAATCCTTTTTTTTACAAGATTAGAAAAAACCTCTCTCCAACAATTCTCAATCCATGATCCTGATACACTTTGACTACTTGAGAAAAACTTCCCAAACCCGCCTAAAGTTAAGCGCACTCCACGTCGTGCGTATCCTCCTTCCCGGTCCTTGGTCGTCTTCCCCCTCACGCGCATGCTCGACGACGATGGGCATACCCACTACCAAGTTCACGGCGGGTAGATCGGTTGACATGATTGGAGCTGCGGCGGCTTTTGCTTTGCTGCTTTCGATGTGCGCGCTAACTGCTTGCCGTCGAGATCCGGCCACCAAATGAATCGTTCGAACTACCACGGCCACTCGCTAGATGCGTGGTCGCGCGGAGATGCCGCCACTCTCTCCGCACTCGTGAAAAAGCGGTTTATAGCAACGGACAAATATTTTTAGGGGCGGTTGGTGATGGAGCCGCCCCTACAGTGACGTGCTCGGGATCCACGAGACTAGCCGCCCCTACAAATGAAACAGTAGGGGCGGCTGATGATACGAGCCGCCCCAACAAATGGGTAGGATTTGTAGGGGCGGCTCACTCACCAACCGCCCCCGATGTTTCTATTTGTATGGACGGCTGGTGATTGAGCCGCCCTTACAAATACCCCACGTACACCCATCCAAAATATCTACCGCCCTCTTCTCTTTCTCTCTCTGTCTCGACTCCCTCTCTCTCTCCCTCGCTCTCCCTCTCTCTCTCCCTCGCTTGTTGTGCCGATGGCCTCGGCTCTGAAAAGATCAAGATGCCCAAGAGGGGAGGTGAATTGGGCTAATTATAAATTTTTTTGCAATAATTAAGTCCTACAGTTAGCCCAATTAACCTCTTGTGCCTAGAAAGTGTTTCTATTGAACTAACGCACAAAATACTTGCAACCTAAGTTCTAATCCTACTCTAGCATGGCAATTCTATGAATGTAAGAACAAGAATTAAATTGCTCAAAATAAATGTTCAAAGTAAATGCTCAAAGTAAATAGAGAGGAGAGGAAACGCGGTGATGTTTTGCCGAGGTATCGGAGAGTCGCCACTCCCCACTAGTCCTCGTTGGAGCACCTGTGCAAGGGTGTAACTCCCCCTTGATCCGCGCAAGGATCAAGTGCTCTCCACGGGTTGATTCTTCGACACTCCGTCGCGGTGAATCACCCACAACCGCTCACAATGTGAGTTGGGTCATCCACAAGCTCTCTGGATGATCACCAAGCTCCCAATCACCACCAAGCCGTCTAGGTGATGGCGATCACCAAGAGTAACAAGCACGAACTCTCACTTGACCACAACAAGCCTAATGAGATGGGTGGATGCACACTTTGCTACTCTTGATCTCAGTAATGAGGGCTCTCTTTGGGATTCTCAAATCTCAATCACCTCACTAGTACCTTGCTTTTCTTAGCACTCTCAAACGTGTTTCTCAGCTGTTGGAATGAGCAAAAGTACCCCCACACACGAGTGGATGTGGTATTTATAATAAGGGCTGAAAACGAACCGTTATGTGCCTCTGTGGGGTGACCGGACGCTCCGGTCATGTTGACCAGACAACTTGGTCAAGATACCCCGAACTCCAGTGTTTCTGATGTGACCAGGACACGGCCTGGCGGGTCCGTCGACAAGACTGACCGAACGCGTCCGGTCGTGATTTTTCCTCTCCTGGAACCTTACTGGAGTCGACCGAACGCTGCCTCTCAGCGTCCGGTCACTTGACCTCTCAGTGTCCGGTCAAACCAGACACAATCACCTTGGTCAAATGAACTGATCGGGCTCTGCGCCAGCGTCCGGTCAACCCAGAACCAGCGTCCGGTCAGTATTTGACCCTCCGTTCACTTCCAACTCTCGATCATATGTGAATGAAGTTTGCTCCAATGGATCTTAGGCATATTTAGGAGCTACCTAGTGCTAGTTTTAACAAGTGTGCATCACACCTAACTCACTAGACTCACCTAGGTCAAGCTATCCGTCCATACCCCCCTTAATAGTACGGCCAAAGGAAAAACAAAGTCCTAAACTACTCTAAGTGTCACTCCAACTCCAATTGACACTTAGAACTAGTCCATCCTTAACCTTGTCGTCTATCCTTTGAAAACCGAAATGATTTCCATCGTAGGGGCATGACTACCTTGATTGCCCAATCGATCTCCATTACCATGACCTAACTTAATTGCCTCTACAAAACACACGTTAGACATAGTAATCTTGTATTGTCATTAATCACCGAAACTCAACTAGGGGCATAGATGCTTTCAGGCTCCTCACCCCGCTCGCGCGGCGCGGCAACCCTCCCCCCACGCCGCACCCTCCCTCTCCTCCGAGCCCCTCCGTCTCTCCTCCATGCCGCCCCTCCCTCTCCCCCACGCGGTGACGGGACCTCCCTCTCTAGCGGAGTCGCACCCCCCTCTTCTCCGCACGGCGGCACTCGGCGGCACACCCTAGGGTGGCGAGGGTTCTGGGGCGCGGCCTCCCGACGGTCGAGCGGGGCTCGGTGTCGCAGAACTGACCAATTTATAAGAGTACAAGTACAATGGCGTCCCGCAAGCGGTCGCACTGTCATACTTGAACCCATATAAACCCGGTAGTCCGTCGAGTACCACGACGGGTCTCGATAAATGATTTACAACAACCAAGATCGTACATGATTCAATATACATGCCACATATTACATAAAATTCACAGATACATTTTCATCATCAGAGTATGAAACCAGTTATTACAAACCGAGTTTGATAGATAAAGCGGAAGCAATTAAGTTCGAAAGTAAAGTTTCCAACATAGTTTGATACAGTGCCAAGATACGATCACGGTCCACAAAAGCATGTAGAAGGATTCATAAGAAGCCTGCCCAAGGCTTACTCCTCATCCACAACGGGATAGAAGCAACTCTTGCAATAACCATGATACACAGTGCCATCTGCAATATGGGAAATAAAACCCTGAGTATGAGAAGGTACTTAGCTAGACTTACCCGTCATAAACCAGAAATAAAATGACTCCAAGGATTATGCAAGGCTGTATAAGTGGGGATAGCTTGACAACATTTTGCATAAAAGCGAATAACTTAGTTATACAATTATGGTTCCAATATCAGGTTAATTATAACTATCCATCTCTAGAT